ACTGACTGACTGACTGACTGACTGACTGACTGACTGACTGACGGACGGACGGACGGACGGACGGACGGACGGACTAAACTGACTGACTGAATAAACGTGTGAGAAATTTTGTCTGCCTCGGTAGTTACTTTGCCCTCAAGCTACAGTTCTCAAAGTGATACACATTTTGTTGACCTTTTTGTGTGACTGATTTATGAAGGATCACGCTGTAATATGTTTATTAGGTTATATTTGCTGGTGAATGACTGTTTCCCTCCGTTCCTCTGTGTTCTGCTCTTCGTCAGTGGCATGAATTGAATAATGTTTGCTACTGGGATCGCTATCCGTTTAACAGATAGTAAACTTCCTGTTTTTATATACATTCTTGAGGCAGAAATTTATGTTAGCCTCATGTGAATTCTACGGTTTTGCACGGTCTAGTGGTCTAGTAGCACCGTCCTCTTGCTTCCGATAGCGTTGAGGACCGTTTAGGGAGGCCACTGCTCCATGGTATTTTGACATTTGCCATTAATATGCAAAACCGCATCACTAAGCAGGGTTGCCAAAGCCTACCGAAATGTCAACATCCGTAGACCTGTATATACGTACAAATAACCGCACTATTATGTGTTTACTCGCAAGTTGTTTTTTTCGATACATCCAGTAAGAATCAATTTTAATTTTCAATTTCTGGGTTTAACGCGGCGTAGTCCCATGAGCTTATTAAATTATGTGCTACTATCGAATAGAATAGGCGAATAGGTATCAAAAAGTAACAGTTTCACGTAAACTGGTAATTTTTTGTTTTTGTCGCATTAATTTCTGCACTCCCAACAGTGTCTTATTCCCTGTTGAATTCGTTCGACGGTTGACTTAACTGTTTCATGTTTCCTTTTGGTTATAGGCTTCTACTGAGTAACATTTATGCTTGACATTTCTTTCGATGCAGTCTCTGTTATTAGCAATCGAGTTTGAGGAAGCAGTCTAATGATGTTGTGTTAAAATCAGCCTTGTTCGCTTATTCAATGAGATCTACTGGTGAACTAAGTCAGTATTGATGTTCGACTGCCCGATGTTACGTATTTCGAAGTTCATGATTCGATGTGTTGCCTTATGCTCTAAGTCAGTGCAAGACGGGAGTTATAATCCTGAGCGGATCCCTCGCCTTCCGTTATTCTGAAGCCGAAAGGCAAGTATCCTGGCGACAATAGTTTAGTAAAACATTGCATATGTTATGACACAGCTTTAGACATGGCTTGATCGAAACAGACCACTATAAATAAAGCAAAAGTGAAATGGGTGGGAATGTACACACTTCTAATAGGCTGGATGAAAGAAGAGGTCTATAAATGGCAGCTATTGAAGAGAGTCTGGGAGATTGATATCATAACGGGCTTTTGTTTTGCTTCGTATTTTGTATATATTTAGCTACTTACGGAATGTTTGATGCCTAGGATTTGTGGCGTCATTTGATATGAACTCAACAGCGCCTTTTGATGTACTCTAGACACGTTCATCGATATCTAGATTGCCTCAGTATGTTGTGGCCGAGCCGGTTGGACGACAGTGCCTATAAACAGCTGGCCAGTTAGCTCTACGTCATTAATTGTCTCTTTGAGTACTGTCTTACAGAATGCAACTGCTTCGATTTTCTCTGCAGCACTGCGCTGCTGAATTGTCATTAATACGAAAACGATGTTTCAGGTTGCCTGGCGGCGGTTGTCTCCTCTGACGGTTAGTTGTGGCATAGCGTCCGGCCGTCGACCACGCTTGTTTACTGCCGTTCGTCCGCCGGTACGGTATCGCTTCGTTGTAATGCGTTACGCCTTTTTTGTTGAAATGACTTATCATCATGCAGTTCCTCATTTATCATCGCCGCCTGCACATCAGTCCTGCTTCGTGGGTACCACGCCACTGCATGCCGTTGTCATCTCCGTTCCTGTCGCCGCCCTTCACATTTGAAAACCATGCGATAGGAAGGGCAGTCAGTCACGCAGCTGGCTTCCGCATAGCATCGATGTGATATTCTGTGACTGTGATGAGCAACTGCTGCAACACACTAGTAAGTGAACTGACCGCACTTTGCCAGTGAACGAGTGAACTTGGCGCCTTTCCCGTTGTCGGCCATGTCCAAAAAGGCCACTGACTTTCTTTTCAACAACATCCTGGGCGAGGGTTCGTTCGCTACTGTTTACGCTGGTGTAGAGATCGCCAATCGTCGCGAAGTTGCCAGTAAGTATTTCGCCTCCACGTCTTCTTGCATCCATCGTCTCTACTAATGTCTTTGCTTGTTGTTTTCTAGTAAAAGTGTGTGAAAAGAGGCTGATCCAAAGCGAGCGCAAAGCCGTCTACATCATGAATGAGAAGAACATTATGGCCTTGCTGAACGACCATCCACACCCGTTCCTCGTTCGTCTCTACTGCACCTTCCAAGACAATACCCGTCTTTGTAAGTCGTTGTCCAACTAATCCGTAACTCATGTTCAAACGTGGACTTCTTAATCATAATAAATCGTTGCTTCGTTTCCTTTCCTTCATGAATATCTATCTCTATCAGTGTTTAATTTCTATATATGTTTATATAATTGTTGCTGTTACATACTCCTCAGATTTCGCTGTTATGTTTACGGTTTTCGAATTTACAACTTGAACAACGTGCGGCTTCATGATTAAGAAACTGGAAACTGTCATGTTTACATTAGGTAAATGCTGCCCATAGTGCCTTTAGAGGTGCCTTATAAATATGGGGTATGTGATCCCTCAAATCAGTCATCTTTATGACAGTTATAACCCACCGTTTCAAATTTATTTTTGCTCTCCCATCCCTTTTCCCCGCCTCCTGACACACAGCATGTTCTTGCATTTTACGCCTATCATCTGTATTAATTTTTGAGTGATTCGTTTTTGTTTTCTGATCGATAAAATGCGTTTTTATTTAGACTTTGTAATGAGCTTAGCGAAGAACGGCGACCTGTTGTCCTATTTGAAGAAACTCGGTAGTTTCAGTGAACCCGTGTGTCAGTTCTACTCTGCCGAATTGATCCTTGCCCTGGAACATCTGCACAGCTTGGGAATCGTTCATCGGTTAGTAGCTACTAACTTGTCTTTTCATTCCAGATTGATTATTTGGGATAAAAATAATTAATACCCGTCTTTTGGTTAATATTGCTGTAAGTTGCTTGTTGTAATTAATTTACCAATCTTTTCACCTGTTCGTCCTGTCTGTACTGGAGGAAATACAAAACATTAGAAGCGGTTATATGCTGAGTACTGGTAACGATATGCTTCGTCAATCAGTTTGATATCAGAGTACGATGAAACAAACCAGACTAATCACCACTCTGATAGTGGTATGTATAGCTGAAGCGTTTTGACTTCTATGTCATCTACTGGGAAATTGGATATTTCTCCGTAGGTATTCGTACGTCTCTTCGACATTCAAGATCGGATCATGCTCTTCTCGCTGCAAAGATCGACTTTATACAGAAAAATTTGCGCAGCAAAGGGTTACGAGGGAATAGAGATGGCTGAGGTCAGTTCACGAGCTGAAATCAGTTCACTAATGCTTAGACATAAACTTCGACTGTGATGGAAAAGGGTAAAGAATCCGTTAAATGCCGAACGACTGCTTTAACGTCGTAGTCGTTGACCACGTCTTCCATAGACAGCCTTGATATTCTCTCCTTTGAGTGATAGCCGCTACGAGTTCATCTCTTAGGTTTGTTGCGTTGCTTTTTCATACAAGTTAGTTCAGCTATTCACTTCGGTTTCGGAGTTCCTTACAAAATTTTAATGCTCACGAACTGCTTCGACAAATTGAAAATGAGCTTTCTTGGTATTATCTTCATGCTTTTAAAGTACTACTTAAGTAAATTAGTATTTCTTTGTATTCAAGTTTCGAGATCAGATTCACACAGTATTTGTCGACATGATTTATTATAGTATGGTAAACAGTAAAAAAAAATCCAGTGCAATTCGAAAGATTAGACAAACAGTGCATGATATTTCGTAATATTTAAAAACTATCGTGATAAAGAATCAATACTATCATTCACGGAAAGTATTGTTTTGAAAGGGGTAAAATTGTTAGACTATGCATGCTTAGTATCTAAGTAAATGAAATATTAATGTTGATATATTGTTATAATTATGTGGTTGTACTGCTCATAGCATAGATGTACACCTACAATATATGCTGGAATACATTTACATGTGCATATATCGAATTCGTGCATCTAAGGGTGAAGATATGGAGCAAATATATCTCATAAACAGTGCACATTGTTAGGTAAAGACAATTCCTGCGGCCTTGTTCATCCATCAATATAATGTGTATACTATAAATTAAATACATTTATTTTCTTTGTTTAATGCTCGATCAAGTCGATTCGAAATGTTGGAAAATATGCACACAAAAGATTTAATTTTATTTGGTGTCATCCCATCTGCAGGTCGGAATTACTGACTTCTGGAACACCGTTATGGAAAAATTTATGCGTGACATCTTGATCTACTGGTATTACAATTCCATTTAGCTGCTTCCCGTACATTTCACCCACCAGTTTCCGTAACCGCGTCCCCCTAGTTTCCTAGTAGCCAACGGGACTTACTGTGCGCCATGAGCTTTGGAGAGGGCAAGGATATGACTTGTATGGCATTGCTTGAAAAATGGAAAAGCTGCTGGAATTGACGAAATCCGCCCTGAGATGCTCAAGGCATTACGCGAACAAGGCATGTGCTGGCTAAAAAGTGAGTGTCAAACTGCGATTACTGCGGAAAAGACACCAGCGGACTGAAGAACGGGAGTTATTGTACCCGTATTCAAGAAGGGG